TAATGGAATTAACATTGATGTTTCATAAATTGAATCAAAAAAGTAAACATACTATTTTTCTCCTCTGTCCTCTACACTCACATTTTTCCTCAAACAAATAGCAAAAACCCTATTTTGAAAAGCCGTCATCGCACCTCATCTGCCTAACTCATCATCATCATCACCATCAATAGTGAATCACCACCCATTCTCCAACCTCGCACCACTCACTGTATCTGTATCTGATCGACGTCTCTGCCACTTACTATGCTCTCGCAACACTTTTTCGGTGACAAGAAGCCACCACGCTCTCTTTATCTCCTCTGTCCTCTACACTCGCACCACTCGCTTGAGATTACTTCAAAGATTAGCAGCTGTCAGATGAGATCCAAGTACTCTATCAACCGTAAGCGTTTTTTTAAATGCAAATTCAAAGTTGAAATTGTCATGTTCAAGAGAAATGAATCTGAAAAAGGGGATCAATGAAGATTGAATTTGATGTTGGAATTAATGTGCAAATACAGATTCTTTGTTCCAGTTTTGATGTCAAACCTAGCTCTTTCAAATTATTACATGTTCTAGTGTCGTCTGTGTGTCTCTGGCCTTAAAACCCACGTCTGTATAAGGTCAAAATGCTTAAGGGTATCGGTAGTCACCCAAGGCAAAGTTCTGTTTTTGAGGTTTCAGCTTTGTTGGGATATTGGTTTTCTCAGAGTGTTAATTTGGTAATAGTAATGCCAAAAACACGTGTTTTATGAATTGCTGATGAAACGGGTAACTTTTTGAATTTGTGTGCTTGTTGATCTTCTTGTTGAACCCTAACTTCAATTTTACAATAAGAAACAACCTTTTTGACATCAGAAGTGAAACTTTCTTTGGCATTCCTAGACCCTGGTATACTCTTTTAAATAAAAAGAGTTGATTTTGTTGATGTACATTTCAGTAAACACTTATTTGTACATGTAAAAATGCAAATATATTGAAAGAATGAATCATATGCTGATAAAGTAAAAAGAAATTGGTATTTAAAGCTGTATATTTTGAATTCAAGATGGATAATCAGTACCAGAAAGATGTCATTTCCAGCTTTCTTAATTTGATTATAGAGATGTAGTGCTTAGGATTTGAACATTACTAATTATATTGTTATCTGAAATTCATCTATGATTTATCCAAACAAAAACAGTTTTACTGACTTTATCATATTCCTACAGGTGCTCAAAATGTGAGTTCTGAAAGGCAACTTAGGCAATTCGTTACAGGTAAAGACAAGTTAGCAGGTAGAAATTCAAAGGGTCGTATCACAATTTTCCACAGAGGGGGAGGGGCAAAACGGTCACAAAGAACAATTGACCTAAAACACAACACTTCATCAGTAGGTGTAGTTGAACGAATTGAATACGACCCAAATCGCACTTCACGGATCGCAGTGGTCAGATGGGTCAAAGGGGTAGCCGTTGACCGCCCGAAAAAAGTCAACTCCCTCCAAAAAAACTTCACCCCACCCCCAAGATCCTACCCTCCATCTCCATCAAAGGTCAGTTTTCATTCTCTTCAATTCCCGGAATGTTATAAGACAAAAGGTGGAATCTTTAAGGCCTAAAACAGATCATGTAGCGGTTGGACTTTCAAAAGGTAGTAGGACCTTGAGTAGTCAAAGTCAAAGTCAAACGGGGACCCACATGAGAAATGTTAAGGATGTTTTCTTGTCTACTTTTTCATCTTCAAATGGGAAAAAAAGACATGATGCTCCTTCTTCGTTTGTGAACGTGTTGGGTGTTCCAAGAATGGTGGTGGCAGGGGCAAAGCCGGAATTTTTTGTTCCAAGAATGAAAGATGATGTGAAAGATAATGAAAGTCTGTTGCTTAATGAGGTAAAAAGGTGGGATAAGGATAGTGTTGTGTGGGGGCATAAGATGAAACGAAAAACAATTGTTTCTTGGGGGAGTTTGAGACAAAGGGGGGTTTTAGGGGTTGTTAATGAGTTAGAGTCAAAGTCAAAGGTGAGAGAAAGTGAAAAGGTGGAAAAAGATGGGAAATTTGGAGTGAATCGAGCTCCTATGAGTTAGATATTAGCTACCTAAGTGTCGATTTATTTGTTACATAAGTGTCGGTTTATCTGTTACATGTCTGTTGTGATAAAAAAACAACATAAATCATAATTATACTGAAAAAAACAAATATTTAATCGGGTATATAATCAAGAGTGTACATTTATATATTATTATTTTAACATTTGCATAGTTTGACATAATCGGGTTTGTAATCAAGAGTGTACATTTATATATTATTATTTTAATTATACTGATAATTTTTTATATGTAGTAAACTATTTGTGCAAAAAAATTAATCGTCTCTACAATTTAATTTTTGAATAAAATATCTGCACCCGGCGCTTGGCGCGGATAAACGGCTATTGTATGTGTGTGTGTGTATATATATATATATATATATATATATATATATATATATATATATATATATATATATATATATATATATATATATATATATATTGAATCGGTATCAACTCCCCTCAAAGTCGGGGGGCTTGAATGAAGTTAGATTGGTATAGGTTGAACCATGAGGATACGAGCCCTGATACCTTGTAAGATATATATGTAGATTTTAAAGCTGCCTCTTCAAAAGAACCCTTATAAAGATAGATACGGCATTTACTAAACCGTGTTGCACCAATATAGGATACCACGAAATCAACATTTCTCCCTTTAAACCAATGCACCGGCCCCGCCTCCAAGCTCGGGCTTCGATTTTCTTGTTCCCCAAGAATTTAAAGTAGCTAAGGCAAAATAAAGTAGGGTAGCTTGTTGGTGATCAAATGATTGCTTGAAGATTGTCTGATTTGTGTTGTAAAACAATAAATGAAATCTAATTAAGCAAAATCATTCATCCTTCTTGGAGTTTAATTTTGTTGTTGTAATATCGATAAACATAGATCAAAGGCTGAATCATGATGGTGATTGTATTATAATTATGTTGCTTTGATTAGTCTCTTATGAGATATCACATAATTTCCAAAAAAAAAATGATAATAGGCGTACATATGGTTTAAAGAAGGGCAAACATTTCATCCTCGTTAATTTCTTTCGCCTTAATTTTGTTTCAACAGATGTTTTATTCATTTTCCATTGATAGGAGGCCCATTTTGGAGCTTTCAAAAGGAATCTGTTGAGTGTTTTTTTACTTATTATTAGATTTGCTATGCTAACTTTATAAAAAGACTTGCCATTTTCAATCACTCTTGCCCCAACTCATTTTTGTTCCAGTTAAAAGTTTCCAATCATATACGCTTTTCCTTTTTTGTATTTAGAAAAAAGAAATCCTGAATATTCTGTATTTATATACGGTTATGCACATGCATATATTCATTGAAAACCACATATTCACATGCATGCATTTATACAACTAATTAGGTCAATATCTATGTAAACGACGGTTAATGAAAAAAACACTATTGATAATTAATTGTAATTAAATAAAAAATTTCTAAAAAAAGTTATTAAATTACATAACATAAAAGTTTTGTCTATAAGTTCATAATAATTAGTTAAAATTAATACATACATTGTTCTACGCATTTATCTTCATTATGTATGTGTAGACATTCAATAAAATCATGATTTATACAATAAAATATACATTTGAATAAAGTGAAAAAAATATAATAAATCATGAAAATTATATTGTTGTATCACAAATTAAAAATAACGGTGTAGGTATACCATCCTTATCTAAGATTAACAATTTTAATCTTTCTATACTTTGAACTTTAAATAAGTTTACATACAATTGGTAATAAAACATGATCTTTGAAAAACAAATCATCCTTCTATAACGATTGTTGTTGATTTTTTATTACTTGTGATAGCAATAGAAATTGTCTTATTTGAAGGGATTTTTCTTTTCAAAAAGATTTAAAGACGTTATTGTAATAAAATTTCCGTTTCCAATATTACTTAAGATAAGCATTAGACTGACAAACTGATCATAAACTTTTTGAAATAGGGCCAACTTAAAATCCTTACACTTGGTTGTGAATCAACTTTTGATCTGTTATTCAGTGATTTCTTGCATGCTTTATCTATCAATTTATGACAATTGATTACGTTCATGGGACAAACCGACCCGATGGGTGGTGAGTGTCAAGTCGTGGGTCATGGGTCAAGGCATGCAGTCGGTTGGTTTGAAAGATGTTAACTTTGCAGGATACAGGGGGTGAGCCGAACCCACACCCTCGTGAATTCAGCACTGTCACTCTCACAATCTTTTAAAGGTCTTTCACATCTTTTTCTTTAATTTAACATGATGGATTTGGAGGGAAATTGAAAGGATATGTTGTGTAACTGTTGGAGGTGTACCCTACAAATACTGGGGTAGTTGGGGTGAGGGCCTCCATAATCCACAGTATGGCCACCCAGCCCCTATTCCTTCCAACTCTGTATGGTGTGTAGTACTTGTAAGGTATTGCTTGAGTTTTTTAGGCAACTTTGAAAGGTCAAGATAGAATGCCACAAGCACCAAAATTGCTTCGTTTCAAAAGATGACTTGTACCTATAAGCATAAATCAAAAACTTATAGCTTTTACCATTATTCACTTTATCTAGAGTTGTGTTTTTAAGTTATAGTTTAATTTTATCAGACAAAAAATTATGGACTTCAATTTTATTCGATCATTGAACATTTTTTAGTAACTAATTGGAACTTAGTTTTGAGAAATATTTTATGAAACTTCCTTATTTGTTATTTTTTAAGCACATATAATATTTATAAAAACAAATTATCAATATCATTTGTTAAAAACAATATATTACGATGCACAAAATTAAAACAATTATTATTCAATCTACAACCCGTATTTCGCTTTTATTTTGATGCACTACATTTGATGATACGTTTTGAAAAAATAACTATTACGAACTTATTATTTAAGATGGGAGATTAAAATTAAATTAATTAATAAACTAAGAATGTTTTATATGTTAAATATAATTAGGAGTAAAATTGAACATTACGGAATAAAAGGTTATTTAAACCAAACATAAAACTCAAAAAATTAATAGAATAAAACTGGTTATATATATATATGCAAAAGTTCAGGAACAATTTTAAACTTTAGAACCAAGGAACCATTATTTTTTCAAGTTTTAAATCTTATAATTTATTAAAAAAATTCTAAAAATATAGAAATTTATAACTTTTTATCTTATTTCCATTGATATCAAATAATTTTTTTATCTGTTTAGATTCATATTGTTGTGAATCTGCACTATAAATCATTAATTTTAAATAAATTCACTGTATGAATCTGCACAAATTCATAATATGAATCTCTACAGATCACACTGTAAATATGCACAGATTGCATAGGGTGAATCTGCACAGATTCACAATGTGAATTTGAACAAATTCACAGTGTGAATCCGAACATATCATTTTTTTTTATCAAATTTGATATCATTGGATTGATGATAAAAAGCTAGGAATATATATATATATATGATGAAATTTTTTCTCTAAAAGTTGAAAATGATTGGTTCCTTGGTTCTATGGTTTAAAATGGTTCCTTGTTGAACCCAAACATATATATATATATATATATATATATATATATATATATATATATATATATATATATATATATATATATATATATTCATATTATATTATTTTGTATCATATTTGTGTTTGTAATTATTGTCTAAGACTCTTAAATTTCAACACATAACATGATTTACTTTGAAATATTTATGACATTCACTTTTATCTTCCTTCCACATTATGTCTTTTTATCGAACAACTATTGGACTATATATATTACATTTGAAAATGAAAATAAAGTAAGAGATACGTAGTAATTTCTTGACAAAATAAGTCTGAAATATTAAAAACTCGTATTAAGCAGTTGTGAGCGAAGTAAACATTCTAATTTCTTAGTACATGTTCCCATGTTTCCAAAAATATAAAGAACGTCCAAAACGGAGTTCGTTTGTAAAAGATACGATAGTTATAAGAAAACAAATTAGTAAAATGTTGATTTTCTTTAAACTGCTAAAACTGAATCAATCTGTTGAGACACTTGCGCACCTTTGATGGAAATTTCATGAGCGTTTTTGGACTCAAGATATGGTCTAATATTTAATTTCATACTCGAAATATTTTTAGCGAAAATATTTGCAAAATTCGAAAAATCGAGTGTTATGGGTCATTTAGACGCGAAACTTTAAACACGATTTCCAAGAGTTCTACAACTTGAAAAATTAAGTTATTTGAGTTTTTGGAATCATTGAACTCGGCTCTATGATTCCCTACTTTTGAAAAAGAATATTCAGTGTCGGGATCTCGAATCACCAAACTAAGATTGTTATTTGGACTCTTTGCTAAACATGACTTTATATTGGGCCCACATTTACTTGCAAGAGTATGAATCATATTTTCCTTCCCCCTTACCCCTTATCCACGTGCATAAGACCTTCACCACCTTCCTTGATTGTGTACACTCTTTCCCCATAGTACAAGCATGGTTATGATTAGTGTTAGACTAACTTAAAGAGGTATGGAGCCTTGATGATCTTGCAAGCTTGCTAGCACTATAAATTGAAGACATTAGCTTCCTATGATCATCACAAACTCATCAACAACATTCCGTCTTTCTCACTCTCCCTTAATCTTCTTCTTTCTCTTGGTTTACACCACCACAATACCACTAAGAAACCACCACCGAACCACCATTTCACCACCCTTCTTCTTACTGTTTTGGTTGATTAAAAGCCCTCCCAAACACCCCTCTGACCTGCCTTACGTCCCCTATCCTCCCCTTCGACATCTTCCATTTGTGATCGGCCAAGATCAAGACCCAAAACCTATTTTTTTTCCTTCCATGCATGTGTCGATCATCAGGAAGACGATCAAACTCAAAACTTCCATTTTTTTTAATTAAAATGGTCCCTCCAAGGAATTTTTTGACAAAATAAATCAAAATTCCAAACTTTGATTTAAATTAATTACTTTAGCCCATCCCTTGGAAATTGTTTACAAAATCAATCCCATA